GCAAATTTTAGAGATTAAGATCCCATATTTCACATCGCAATGAAGCAACGTTTTGAAAAGAAGTCTTTGGAATCAGGAATATCCCTGTCCTTATATTTCTATCCTTCCTTCAACCAACAGGGAAACTCCGACCGGAATGAAATGATCTGGCCGGGCGTTTGAAACCCTTCTGTTGTTCTGTTAAGGGTGTGGAGAAAACGCTCCAGCCGTGTTCCAGAAGCCATTGCTTCTTTATATCTATATCTCTAGAGAGATAAGAAAGTCTGCCTCCTGCTTTTCTTTCTGATAACTTCACCCCTGCTAGGGGCCAAAGTAACTCTGAAATCTCAAGGCAAGCCCTAACTTCAAGGATACGGTGGGAAAAGCTGTGCTTTGAATGTACTGGTGGAGGGGCACCTGGGTGGCTCAGTCAGTTAAGTCTGTGGGTTCGAGCCCCGCATCGGGCTCTGTGCTGACAGCTCAGAGCCTGGAGCCTGCTTCAGGTTCTGTGTCTCCCACTCTCTCTGCCACTCCCCTGCTCACACACTGTCTCTCTCAAAAATAAATAAAAATTAAAAGAATTTTTTAAGAATAATAATAAAAAAGAAAGTACTGTTGGAGAAAATGAGTAGAGTGGTTGGCTTGCTTGGATTGGTTGAAAGGGGCAGGAATTCCAGTCTTTTGCCTCCTGTGACTGTCAGCAGCTTCCCCGGTTTACAGAAAATGTTGATTTGGGGGGCTTAAAAAATTTTTTTAACGTTTATTTATTATTGAGAAACAGAGCATGAGCAGGGGAGGGGCAGAAAGAAGGAGAGAAACACTGGGGCGCCTGGGTGACTCAGTTGGTAAAGCGTCCTACTTCGGCTCAGGTCATGATCTCACAGTTTGTGGGTTCAAGCCCCGCGTCAGGCTCTGTGCTGACAGCTAGCTCAGAGCCCTGAGCCTGCTTCAGATTCTGTGTCTCCCCCTCTCTTGGACCCTCCCCTGCTCACGCTGTCTGTCTCTCTCTCAGAAATAAATAAAATTTAAAAAAAAATTTTAAAAAAAAAGGAGAGACACAGAATCCAAATCAGGTTCCAGGCTCCGAGCTGTCAGCACAGAGCCAGACGCGGTGCTTGAATCCACAAACTGGGAGATCATGACCTGAGCTAAAGTCAACGCTTAACCTACTGAGCCACCCAGGTGCCCCTTGGGGGCTTTTAACCATGAGATTTCTAGATGGCCTTAGCTGCAGATTCAAAAGGAGCCCGATTCCTGAGCGCTTGGCTCAGATAGGCCTAGCAGCAGCTGAAGCCAGTTTCCTGGTCCCCCACGGTGCCCTGCACGGTGAGAAGTTCAGCTTCCGCGGGCCTCTCCGCTCCCGGAGCGCGTGCTGTGTCCCCGGGCCACAGGTGTCTTAGCCTGCATAGCCACAGTGAATCAAATTGAAATGGTGCCGAATGCCTGCATGCCAGATGACAGTGACAAACTTGTTCTAGATGTCAAATGTCACATTTGGAAGGCCCAGTGCTCACAGCCGGGCTAGAAGCCCAGCCACACGGGTTTGTCCCGCATGTATTACCGAGGGTCTGTTACGAGCCAGTGGCCACAGCTGCAGTGTGCCATTCCACCTTCTGGACGACCTGTTGGTCTTGGCTTGGTCACCTGGTTGTTGGAGTGTCACTAGCATGAATTCTAGGCAGTTTTCAGTCTCAGGTTTGCTGAAAGGCTTGCCGCCAGCGCAGATGGCCCCGGCTGCCCTAAAAATAGCCGGCGCTCCAATCCAAAGCACTGTGGAGTGAGGGACCTGAATTCAAGTCCTGATTCTGCCAGTGTATTACTCTGGGCCTGGCCTTGGCCTCCATCTCCTCATCCATTCAATGGGCAGAGTGGTTTTGATGACATTCCAGACTGCACTGACATTCTCAGGCTGCCCACGAAGCATTCAGAGGCTGTTCTGGACATGATAATGCAGCGACTCTGTGACCTGGCCTGTCATGGTTTTGGAGAGTAGGGGACAAAGCCCTTTCTTTCTCCCTTGGCCGAAAAACTGGACAGTGCTCTGTTCCTGTCATCGGAAAACAACGGAGCTTCAGAAGAACCAAAGGCCGTCATACTTAAGCAACAAGTTAAGACGACGCGCTTTTCTTCAAGCAACAAGTTAAGGCGACGCGCTTTTCTTCAAGCAACAAGTTAAGGCGACACGCTTTTCTTCACTCAGCGGGAGCTCTATTTTAACCTGTCACTTCCAATATGGCGGCAGCATGTTTCCTCCCATTTAGGTTAAGTAGCTACAGTGATCTTGGAAGCGCTAATGATTCGTCCATGGCGACTGCCAACGCCCTAGGTGGAGTCTAGAAAGGATCTGGCTCTGATGTCGCTGGCTCTTGGGCGGGCTTCAGGTGCTCCATGTGCTTGGTGGCAGTCACATGCTTGTGGGGGAAAAGGAGAACCATGGCTGGGAGATTTATGGGCCCAGGGTCTTCTTTCTCTGGTCCAGGGAAGACCAATCACAGGAGGTGTGAGGCCACCCCCCCACTGCTGCCTTTCAGCGTGGTTTCCCTGGCAACCAGGCCCGACTGGCTCACTCTTACCAACTGTGGAGTGCTGGGGCTCCAGACCTTTCATCATTCAAACTTGAAGTAACATGTTTTCGTGGGTGAATTAGGATCATCCTCAAACCTAAGGCGGCCAATTGGAGTGTCTCTTGTTTTTCCTTCCTTTGGCCAACAGTAGCAGAACTGGCTTCTTTTGTTTGTTCACAGAGCCTCCGTGACACTCATTACTTTGATTTATTCTGGCCTCCTTTCATGACACATCATTTGAGTTCACTCACAAAATATAGAAGTGTGGATTCATATTTAATGAACATATTGGCGTTTGGCACATGGTAATCAGTCCTTGAATGTTTGTTGAATAAAGGAACGAAACATCATGAAATCACAGAGTAGCAAGGTCGACGAGTGCCTTTGGTGAGCACCCTGTCAAACTCCTTCGTTGTACAAATGGAGAACTCAAAGCCCAAAACGTGGAGTGACTCAAAGCCCAAAACGTGGAGTGACTTGTCCACAGCTGTATCCACAGCTACGTAAACTCAATTCTGTTCCAGGTGGACCCAGACCACTGTCCCCTCCAGAGCACAGAACACACTGCCTCGTATGAAAGCCGGATAATAGCGCATCAAAACTCGGATGCGCTGTATTGCACTTGGGCATATTATGCTGAGCGTCCTGCTGAATGTAGTGTTTGAGATACGTCTGTGAATGACTCAACAGGAAACACTTTTTGAGAAATTTGAAAATGCATTTACTGATATTTAGGTTTGAAAGACTAAAGTAAAAGTGTATTAACTAGAAGAATTTGAAAGACATCAGTGAGAGTGAGGCCTGGCTGGGGGTGAGGTGAGGGCAGCAGCTCGTGGGGTCAAAGTGGTCCCAAACACGATTTTGTCAGTAGTTCCACACGTCATGAAATTCAGGATGACCGATTCACATCATCACCAAGTTCACAAAAAGCTGAGCTATGAACCAGAACACCACTTTATTAATTCATGAAGGGAGCTATTCTGACACACTGAAGTCTATATGTAGGCCAGTCAGCAGCCCTGTAGAAAAGTCAATACAGAAGGCCTAATTATAATAAAAAAGTTGCCTGGGGAGTGTGAAACCAGAAAAAGGGGAGTGAGCTGGCTCATTGGAATGACTCATGTCTGTGAGCCACCAGGGCACCCATCTCCACTGTGGGGACATGCTAGTTTAGGAGACTTGGTGCTTCTGTTCTCTGGTCTAGGGCAACTTCTTCCTTAGCCTTGGACAATACTGGAGACACATTGATGAACTCTTCCTTGAAGACTCTACTAGATCAAGATTGTAAACTGACTGTTCTTCTCTGTTGACATTTAAAAAAAACTATTTTTTAAATGTTTTATTTATTTCTGAGAGAGAGAGACAGAATGAGCAGGGGAGGGTCAGAGAGAGAGAGGGAGACACAGAATCTGAAGCAGGCTCCAGGCTCTGAGGTAGCTGTCAGCACAGAGCCCGATGCGGGGCTCAAACCCACAAACTGTGAGATCATGACCTGAGCCGAAGTCGGACACTTAACCAACTGAGCCACCCAGGCGCCCCTCTGTTGACATTTTTTTCAGGTGGGGGACGAGACACATGAGTCGATGTCACCTTTCTTAGTTACCTCCATCACAACTCAATTACAAGCTCTTAGACAACTATTCTGATGGGCCATTCCTTCCATGATGCATGTATTTTAATAGCACAACTCTCTCAGGATCCTTTCCTTTAAGCTCTTCAGGCACCTTACATCATCGCTATGCTCTGAAAAGCAAGTCAAAGACCATACTGAAAGCAAGTCTGGGTTTGACAGACATGTGTAACTGTGGACAGTAGTAAAACAGAATGATGTCCCCTTTCTTCCTTTAATGCCCATGCAGGGGAAAGGAGAAGGGGAGGGGACTGATTTGGGGATTAGGAGATGGAAGAGATCAAGGAAGTAGGAATAAGGATACAGAAAAGGAATGGTGTTTCTGGTGAGTTTCAACCTGTCACCTGCTCCTGTGCTCTTTCTTTATGAGTGTAATGTTGGCCTTATCATGAATGAGACCGCATATCCTGGATACAGATCTAACCAACTGTGATGTTTTGGTGGAAGAGGTTAACAATGATCTAGAACATGGAATGCCACCAAGATGGAGAATCAGAGAGTCGCCCCAACGGAGGAGGAAGAACTTAGCTTCACAATGTGGTTAAGGGCTGGACCTGTAGAAATGGCCACAATTTCCTATCACAGTATATTTCTCCAGTGATTACATTCTATTTTTTTAATGTTTATTTTTGAGAGAGAGAGAAAGAGACTTTTTAAATGTTTATTTATTTTTGAGAGAGAGAGAGAGAGAGAGAAAGACACCGGAGCATGAAGAGCGGAGGGGCCGAGACAGAGGGAGACACAGAACTCGAAGCAGGCTCCAGGCTCTGTGCTGTCAGCGTGGAGCCTGACACGGGGCTCGAACTTGCGAACCATGAGATCATGACCTGAGCCGATGTCAGAGGCTTAACCGACTGAGCCACCCAGGCGCCCCTACTGATTACATTTTCTAATCGATTTACCCTAGTAAAATAGGAATTCTAGCTAGATTTCTCCCCATAAAGAGAAACAGCTATATTTATAGAACGTATACAGTCAAATCTAAAGAGATGGGAAAGTGATTCGTTGGTAAAGGACCTTGTCCATTTTCAACCCCAAATATGTCAGCCTTGGAAATTCATTTTACTTTAAGTGAGCTTTGTCTTTTCTTTAATCCAGTTGACATACCGGGATACCTTGGTGTATATTCCATATTTTCCTTTCATTGCGCACTCTTCACCCCAGCTAATAATTCCAGTTAAGAAATTAGTGCCTTCCACTTCGGTAACATGAGGTCCCCCACTGTCTCCCTGGCATGAATCTTTACCTCCCTCATGGAAGCCAGCACAGAACATGTTATTATAGATGGTAAACTTGGTGGAGCGAAGGCACGTGGCTCGGTCAACGAGTGGAACTTTAAGGTACTGAAGAACAGTAGCCGGTCTCCCTCTGTTGAAGACTCTCCCCCAGCCACTCACGTAGCCAGATCCAAATTTAAGGAAGGTGTTGGTATATTCCCTGTCAGCAATGCAAATAGGTGTTACATAGCTGTTTAGCGTTAAGGGTTCATCCAGTTCCAGAAGGGCAATGTCATGGCTGTATTTATTGACAGCTGCATTGTAGCTGTGGTGAAGAATAGTGCGAATCACATTTCGCTTTTGCTCCGTATGTTCCTTCTCCTCGATGTTATATTCACCTATGGAAAGGAAATTTCTCTTCAGTCACGAATAGTCCAAGATTTTCGGCATCGCTGAATTGACTGATAGCCAAGGGTCGGGGATCCCAATCTTACATTGTTACGATTTTGGTAAAATGTCATGAGGGCCAATGCATACTTTTCAGACCAGAAATGCATTCGGGACCATCATGGGGCTGGTTTGGTGACCCATGTTGTTACAACTCTTAACATCGTTCACAGATGCTTATGAATCTGCGTGTCATGAATTATCCTAGACTTTCTTAATTTCAAGTATATTGACCCATTTTTTGGGTCACACAGATAATACATTCATTTGCTCATTCATTCAGATGTTAGCTGAAGGCTCACTGCATACAGGTTCAAAGAGGAGGGATGTGACATAGCTTTTGGGGAGGCTCAGGGTGCTGCAGAAATGTACACATCAATAAATAAATCTACCCCTGTGGAATGGGCGTTATCATAGGCACATCCAAAGAACAGTGGGGGGCTTGGAGGATGCAACAAGTTAGGTTCTGGAAATCGCTGCCTCTAGCACTAGCTCAACTTAGTTAGCAAAGAACTTATTAGGCCCTAGGAAAGTACGATGCACCAATCATATAGAAGGTCTAGTGGTACCGCAGATTGCCATCCTGTTTTGTTTATTTACCTGCAACAATGGTAATTTTCACATCCGGATTAATACAGTGGGCTGCAGTTACCACCCATTTTTCATTAATGATGGACCCGCCACAGAACGCATCAACTGTCCCATGCAAAACGACCTGTGGAAACAAAATTGTGAAACTCACTGCATAATGTGCTTGATCCAGAACAAAATAAACACAGGTGCTGTTTATAGGAGTGGGCAAAAAGTTGGATTCTCGGTGTGGGCGGAACTGGAGTGTTTCTGGAAGGTGCCAAGTTTGCCGATGAGTTAGTGTTTCTGGTACACGCTCAAAAAAGCCATTTCTGTAACTGTCTCAAAGAGAATGTGCAATGAGAGCCAGGAGGAGATCTAGACGAGGCAAATATGAGAGAACAGGGTCGGTGAGGTGTGGCCCTTGGATGCCTTTTTCCGGGCGAGTCAGAGTCTCTGATGGCACAAACTGCTGCATGGGACATGGCAGGTAAATTCAGCAATGCACTGACCTGACTCCTCCAGGTCCGCTGTTGTTATTGGGTCGTCTGTCCCTGCGTGAGGAATTCTTGCTAGAAGGTGATTTGAGAGAGAAAAACTACTGATTTTTCAATGAGGTCTTTTTTTCTTAATGTCATTTTTGAGAGAGAGAGAGAGACAGAGTGCGAGTGGGGGAGGGGCAGAGAGCAAGGGAGACACAGAATTCGAAGCAGGCTCCAGACTCTGAGCTAGCCGTCAGCACAGAGCCCAATGCGGGGCTCGAACCCACGAACTGTGAGATCATGACCTGCACTGGAGTCGGACGCTTAACCGACTGAGCCACCCAGAAGTCCCTCCATGAGGTCTCTTTAAGTATGACTTGAGACCACTGGCCTCTATAAGGGCCGTGCTTACAGCCTTCCAGGCACTGATGAAGAGCAGGACACACGCACGCCTGCCCTTCCCCCCCCCCAGCCATATTCCGCTCCCCTTGGCTGGATATGTAAGCTGCCTCTGTCCTGAAAGGTCTACTTAGCTGTGCTTGGGCAAAGTGGACAGAGGTGTTTGGGTGCCTGCTTTGAGCCTGGGCATTATCAGACAAGAGGCCAATCCTTTCTTTTATCTGTACATTTATTGTCTAATCAGAGTGGACAGTGAATGTTTTTACCACCTCGATGTCTAGATCAACTTGGAAAATTTCACTTCCAGTGCACCCTGAGCCACTTGCTCAGGGGGGAAAAAAAAGGTGAGAAGTAAGGACGCTAGAGGGCGCACTGAACATTTGGAAACCCTTGTGCAGTTGCTGAGTAATTCCTATGAACTCCTGCCCTTTTACTAAAGCAAGCCTGGTCTCAGGCCTAAATCTCTTTCTAAACTAGGGAAAGAGAGTGGTCAGTCCCCTTAAGTGGGAGTCTGAGAAGGTCCTTGGCGTATGGTCTAGTGAAGATTCTTTTTGTCCTGAATTCAATTTACTGAACATCTACTAAGTCCTAGACACTCAAGTATTGGCCACCTACCCAGAGACTTATGGGGCTGACTCACTGCAAGCTTCTGACCCCTTTTCCATATTTTAGCTTTCTCTCTCATTCTAGCTGTCACTTTTTAAAAATTTATTTAAAATTTATTCATTTTGAGAGAGAGAGACAGCGCGCCTGCGCAAGTGTGAGACTACAAGTGGGGGAGGGGCTGAGAAAGAGGGAATGAGAGAGAATCCCAAGCAGGCTTGGCGCTACCAGCATGGAGCCCAGCATGGGGGTGGGCGGGGCTCAACGCAGGACTCAAACTCACGAACTGTGAGATCATGACCTGAGCCGAAATCAAGAGTTGGTTGCTCAACCGACTGGGCCACTCAGGTGCCCCTTACATTTATTTTAGAGAGGGGGGAGGGGACGAGGGAGCCGGGCAGAGGGAGAGACTGACTCTCAAGCAGATTCCACACTCAGTACGGAGCGTGATGTGGGGCTGAATCCATGACCCTGGGGTCATGACCTGAGCCGAAATCAAGGGTGGGACGTTCAACAGACTGAGCCACCCAGGCGCCCCTAGCTGTTGCTTGTTATTTTGAGAAGTTGGAAAAATATAGGACAACTCACATAATAATATCATGAACACCAGTGTGGCCACCACTCAGACTTAACAGTCTTCTTAATTTTTTTGAACATTTATTGGTTGCTTACTATGGACTAATCATCGTGCTAAGTGTTTCATGTACATTAAGTACAACACTTCATGGAGTGATATTAACACGTCCATTTACAGATGACGTCACTCCCCTAAGGTTGGTTAGGTTAGTTAGTGGTGAAGTTAGGGTATAAGCTCTGGTCTGCCCGGCTTCACAATCAATGTTCCTAAGCACACAGTATGTCTCCAAGTGTGATCAGTGGGCCGATTGCAGCAGAATCATCTGGGATGCGTGTACAACGCAGATTTGGGGGCCCACCCAGACTCAACTAGAGTATTTGGTGGGTGTGACCAGAGAAAATGAAGATCTCCAGATTACCCTTAATGCATAATTATTGGAGAAATTCTGTTTCAGCATTTCCAAGGCTTGGTGACCTTTATTTTAAAAGTGCTCAGTCCACCCAGAGCTGGCTACATAATTTGTGGGGCTCAGTGTCCATATGAAAATGTGGGGCCCCTTGTTCAAAAACCAGGAAATAAACACATGCCACTGAAAATACTAACATACAAAACTTTCCTCTTTCTTCTGTGGTCTCTTGCAAGCCATCATGGGGTTTTTAGTTTATTACTTAACATCACACTTACTCAGGCGTGGGGCATATTTGTTGGGAAGGGGGAGATGCTGATGGGTGCCCAAGAGCTGCCCCCTGTGATCTAACATGCAAGCACAAATGCCCTTGGCCGTCAGGTACCCTCTCCCATCCGCCCCAAGGGAAGGTAAGTCAATCTTCCCTTCTTACTGGCTCACTGCAGCAACGAGCAATGTGTGTGTGGGGGGTGGGGGGGGTATGGTGGTTCGCAATGGATTATAACTACCATGCCAGGATGCGCTCAGTACCTGGAATGGAGGTGTGCAAGAAGCTTGCTCCCACCATTCCCCCTCCAGATGTGCTGCGACAAACTTCCAGTCCTCAGATACTATGTGGCCCTGACGCCTCCCAAAACGGCATAGAACAGGCACACCCAACCTCAACCCTCCCTGCGCCTGCACAAGAGGAGGGTGGCAATGATAGCTGTTGGGGCCGAGGTCGGAAGTACGCCAGCATGCCACGGGTTGAGGGGTGGTGGTGGCCATTGGGCAGGGGGGACAAGGAGTGAGAGGGTCAAGAATCCATCCCCGGGAGGTAGAGACAGGTTCTAAGTTCTCAGCGCAGGGGTGCTCCACTGTCTCAATCGGACTTGAGGTGCGAAATACAAAGCATTAAACTACAAACTCGGGACCCTTCCAAAAGCAAGGCCCCATGCAAGTGCACTGGTCCCAAGCGCACGAAGCTGGCCCTGACCCCAAGCGATATGTTATCACTAAGCAAATCTGGGCAACACTGTCCTACACGGATCCTAATGGTCACCTCTGAAGACATCTGTTCTAGTAACCGGAATTATGAAATCACACGCAATGATAGAATGGCGCCCTTCCTCTATATTAGAGGTGACTGGGTATCTCTCAGCTTAATGGTTTGGTTAGGCCAGACTGAATGATATCCACAGTCCCGGGCCTCAGAGACTATGATGTAGCTTAGTCTGACTCCTGCCAAAGCCTTGCTGCCTGGAGCTTCTACTCCTTTCTGGTGGATGGCTGAGAAATAGGATTGTGTTCTTTTTGAGCCCGAAGAGTATTTGTCTTCCTTTTCTTTCTTTTTTTGCCAATCTCTGATGGGTATTAGAAGTTTTAGCAAACATCTTTGCCAAGAAAAAGCCCTAAAATATATTTGCATTTAAAGATATTACAAATGACTTGGTTTTGGAATGTTTGCTTGGCTACCTCAGGATCACAGCTATCTAAATACGAGCTATTTGGGGACAAGCCGTCTGCTTGGCCAAGGACAAGTTCTTGTAAGGCATCACTTTGGAAAATGAAGGGAAAAATGGGAAAGCATATGTTCTGAGCAAGGCATCCAAGTTCCGCTCTGTCAAACACTTCCATGTTTGTCCTATCCTAATAGGAGCCTGTTTTCTCTCTTTCCGACACACGCACAGATGCACACCAAACACACCCACATCCATCCGCAAAATACACACGCACACATCTCTTCCGATGCTCTTTGTTGATTATGCCAGTCCAGCGCATAGCTGTTGCCCTGTTGTGCTCTTCCTGACCTTTACCTTGATCTGGCCTTTTCCTGTGATTTCAGTAAACTCTTATTCTCTCTACGGAGACAACTCCAGCTTCACGATAGCATTTCCGGCCCCTGTTCGCATACTCGTTCTTTCTCCTATAAAAAGCCAGAGCGTCTCTGGATGAAGAACAGCTTGTTACACCCACAGGTGTGGTTCACCCAGCCATCAGCCCTACTCTGCATTTTTCTAGACACAGAAGGGATGCTCATTTTTGGTGTTTAATGGTTAACCAGGCTGGTCATTGAAATAGGTTTCATCAAACCATCCTAGAGAATAACAGTCTAAATGTTCTGTCCAAAATAGTTTTATGGGCCAGGTGAGATTACATACGTGATGTTTTTATTTGTCTTAATTGACACTTTATCACGTGAGCTAGGAAAACTAGAGGGTTACTTTCTCCAGGTGAAGATATGTCTATGGTCTTAGGACTGTCCTAGAAAATCTTCCTCCCAATCCTCCCCCTTTCCAAGTTAAAAAAAAAAAAAAAAAGAAAGAGAAAGTTCTGATTTATACATATGGTAACTGCACGCTATCTGTCACTGGGGGTGTGTTCTTATCAAATGGAAAGCATTGGGTATGTGTAGGTAGCTGTACAGGTTAAGGGCTCAGGTACCTTTAAGGACAGCTTCAGGTTAACCTGAGGAAAGCCGAGACCGGGGAAAATTCAAAGATGTTTTAAAGATCATTTAGGCCAAGAGCAGCATAAGGAATAGACAGACTGCTTCTAAGACATTTTGCTGGTTAAAACGGTTGAATATTGGCAATTACATATGAGACAGCCTAATATATAATTTTTTTTTTAATTTATTCTAGGAGAGAGAGAGACAGCGTGAGCAGGGGAGGGTCAGAGAGAGAGGGAGTCACAGACTCTGAAACAGGCTCCAGGCTCTGAGCTGGCAGTCAGCACAGAGCCCGACGCGGGGCTCGAACCCACGAACCGCGAGATCATGACCTAAGCGAAAGTCGGACGCTCAACCGACTAAGCCACCCAGGCGCCCCAGAGACAGTCTAATATAAAGGTTAAGGAAAGCTTAGCCACTCGGCATCCATTGTATTCCTTTTTTTTTTTTTTTTCCATTTGGTGGAATGATTTCCAAATTACTAAATGTAGAATAAATATGGCTTGGGTGACAGTGCAGAGCCTGCTTGGCATTCTCTCTCTCCCGCTCTCTCTTCCCCTCCCCCCCCCAGAATAAATAAACTTTTAAAAAAGGAGTAAATATGACTACTACAGAGCTGAGGCCCATGACAAAACAGAAAATAGAAAGACCAGGTACTTCACGTGCAAGGCCAGACAGATCCAAACCCAAAGCGGAAGAGGTGGGAAGAGCTCTTGGGGCAATTTTGCGTGTGCTCGGAATTGTTGGCTGACAGAGTCAAGGGCGTGGGATCAAAACCAAAGTAAAGCTCTAGAAAGCAGAAACATGGTGCTGCTTTCTCAAATCTCTCTTTTAAGCTATTGATGAAGGTGGTCTCATAGTAATAGGGGTTTCTATTTCCCGGTTTTCTCTAACGTTCAAAGGTTTTCATGGCTTCCCTATGTAGCTATCCGAAATTTGAGTCTCGTTTTCTTTCTCCACTCGAAGGATATAGCGACTGTAGGAAATAGCCTTTCTGTTCGTGTATAGCGCACTTGACCCTCCAGCTTCCTCTCCGAGCTCCCGCTCCCGGCCTCACATCCCCTCCGCAGTGAGTTTTGAGGCCCCACAGGGCCAGCAATCCGCGTCCTTGCCCTTGGGCGGGGGCTTGGCGGGGCGGGGCTGGCTTTGTCTCGGGAGCCGAAGGGGGTTCTGGGAAACGCTAGGGTCAGGGGGCACGTTTGGTGCGGCTCGCCTCTAGCTCGGAAGCTGAAGTGAAAGCCGTCGAATAAGGTAGGAAGTGGACGCGGCCCCGCACGAGATAGGGGAAAGTGAACCTTACTTCTTAGGGTCTCAAACCTGGACAGGGTGATAGTGAGTCCCTCTGCTGCTCTGACCCCCACCGGATGAACCAAGGCCCTCCATGCTCTCCCCACGGGTTTATCAGGCCAGGGCAGTCCCCTGCGACGGGACAGCTCTTCAGGTTAACAAGTCAACAAACAGTTGTTCAACCAGCGTTTCCTTCCAGAGCTGCTCAGCTCCTGAAACTGACACTGGTTGGAGGGGTTTTCTTAACCAGCGTCAGAATCTGCCTGCTTGCCTGTGACTTTCACCTGTAAGCCCCCAGAGGAAAAGTCGCCTTCCCCTTTTCCTCGGTGGCCCCCTCGCTCTTGCAGACCGCTAACTTAAACCTTTCCCTTAGCCAACGAAACCTTTCCTGCTTGTTCCCGCCATGCATGACTCCAGAGGAAAGTGACCTCCCTATGTTCTTTGTGCGATACGTTCACCCAAATGGTCGTTTTATTTGCCCCCACCCCCTTTTATTAAGCATGGGGATTTTCTTTTAAATTTTTTTTTTGCATTTAGTTTTGAGAGACAGTGCGAGCGGGGGAGGGGCAGAGAGAGGAGACACAGAATCCGAAGCAAGTTTAAGGCTCTGGGCGAGCCGGCAGCACAGAGCCCGATGTGGGGCTCGAACCCACAAACCGTGAGATCATGACCTGAGCCGAAGTCGGACACTTAACCGACTGAGCCACCCAGGCGCCATGAAGCACGGGGATTTTGAATCCTGTCTGGGTGAGATTGCCAAACTGTTTCATATCTGATAGCCGGAGATCTACTGTTTTAGCTCCTGAAACCCCAGCTGTTAATTGCTTTCTCCTGATGCCTCGGCTGCAGCAGGTGTGTTTTTGGACTTGCCTGCGATCAAATCTAGTATTTCCACCTTGCGGATGGGCGGTGCTGGGGAGCTGGCACGTCCTCAAAAGAGAGATTCTGGTTTGTTGCACTTCCTGCTTGGTCTGTGTCTGGAAGTGCCTTTTGTATACTCAGTTTATCTCCGGTTTTGGAAAACCAGTGACCTTTTGTGAGAAACTGGGTGGAGGTGAGTGTGGAGGGCATGCTCTCGTGTGAGAAGGAAACAGCGCAGGGGTGTGGCGGGGATCTTCCCCAAGTATGCTGCTCTTAGTGCTTTGTGCCTCTTCGGTTAGCAGGCCTACTTCCTATGGATGAAATAGGGAGTGAACCTATGCATGAGTGGTCTTGAACGTTCCAAATGAGCTCAGCTAGGCTTGATAGGAATGAGTCAACAGGTATACTAACTATGGAAGTGTGCAGTGAGGAGGACATGAAAAGATTCGAGATGTTGTGTATCATATCTTCTTCCTCACAGCACATCTGCAATCTGATAGCTTGTTCTGCTTAAAAGAAAAGAATAGCTAGCGAGAGCAACGAACTTTTTATTAGGAAAGACTTGCATTGTTAACATATTGGCAAGCATCTGGTTTAAAGGGGGTGGGTGGAGAATGAAGAGATTATGTGACTAGATTGAGACTACGTAATCCCCCCCCTTTTATCTGTTATTTAAACGTCTTTGCCAATTTCATTTCTGGGTTGAGAAGGGGCAGTGCTAAACTCACAATGTGTGCCTCTTCTTTTTTATCCTCCACCGCTCCCCCCCTTTTTTTAAGAATAGTCATGGGGGGCGCCTGAGTGGCTCAGTCGGTTAAGGTCAGGTCATGATGTCACGGTTCGTAGGTTAAGCCGTGCATCAGGCTCTGTGCTGACAGCTCAGAGCTTCGAGCCTGCCTCGGATTATGTTTCTCCCTCTCTCTCTGCCCCTCCCCACCCCCTGTCAAAAATAAACATTAAAAAAATTAAAAAAGAATCATCCTCTTGGTGCTAGTAAAACATCCCTGAGTTTGTCGATCCTCTAGTCTAGGGACTGCCTATGTCCCACAACCCCAAGGAAGAGAATTATTAGAAAGTAGGATCTTTTGTTCCAACCATCTATGCATGGAAGTTGGATACATATTGAGAATGAGAATGCACAAGAACACAAATGGTAAAATTAGATAGAATTAGATCCATGGATGGTAAACAGAATGAAAGCATAATTAGAGTGGCTGGATCCAATAGGGGTTGTTTAAGGAAAGGCCCATGGAGGAGGGCAGTCTTATGAAGAGTCATGAAGGTGAGGAAAGATGTGGGTGGGTAAAGGAAGAGGTCATGGTGGATGAGGGAAGCAGTGCTGGTACGATGGGGTGGAGGAACACAGCATATTTTATCGGCTGTAAGATCAAGTCCAACAGATACTCTTAAAAGCAAAGCCAAGTAAAGGAACAGAAAATATAGGCTTGGTCGTGGTCGTCTACCACCCTTCAATACCATTCTCTATAATGTCTGTGCCAATACCTACCTCCCAGGTATATGTTCAATATATTATATCCATTATATTGGGAAATTCTGAAGAATCCTGAATAGATACATAGTTAGTCTTAGACAGCTCCAGTGGTGGTAAGCCTGGGATGATTACCTGATCCTGGCTTAAACTGTTAACCGGTTTGATGATTGAAAAGTCTTTGAAGCTACTGGTTCTTGATGGCAAACTTTCAAACCTCAGTAGAGGAAATACTTTGGAGTGAAGCGTCCTTGAAATAGCCACAAAATCATACGATTGTGGCTACTAGGGAGCTTTTAGACTAAACAATTATAAGCCATGTCCAGTAGAACTTTCCGTAATGATGGAAATGGTCTGTATCGGTGCAGTCCAGTCACCCCCAGCTGCACGTGGCACTTGAAATGTGGCAGGTGTGACAAGTGAATTTTTAATTTTACTTAATGGTGTTTAGATTTAAATAGCTACACGTGGTTAGTAGTTATGTTATTGGACAGCACAGCTTTATATAAGGACCGGCCTGGCAAGTTGCTAATGGGGGCTGGGGGTGGGGGAGGGGACTGCTGCTTCTCTCAGATAGAATCACTTAGGCTTTAGCTGTAGGGTCAATCGCAAGTTCTGCTACAAATCTAGCTCTTGGCCATTGGCCCAGAAGTGCACACAGGTGATTCTCATGTGGGTGGTCTGCAGATCACACCTGGAGAAATGTGGGATTAGGTACCATGCGTTTACTGTTTGGTTCCTTTGATTTCAAATTGTAGTACTTCTCAGGATCACCCATCGTGCTGGTTAGTTAGCACTCAGTTGCTGTCCTTCCCCCGCCCCCCATCCCCAGAGATTCTGCTTCAGTAGGCCTAAGGTATGGCGTAAAAATTTGCATTGCTAACAAGTTTTCATGCGATTCTGATGCTGGTACACTTTGAGCCTTCGACCAAGCCCCTGTCCCATACCCGAGTCCCAGTAACCCAGTCCTTTAAAAAATCCCTTCAAAATCAATTTCTCTGGACCTGGAGACTTTCTCTCACGGGTTCTCCCACGAGCTGAAGCTGAAGTAGTACCCCGAACCCCAGGGCGCATGACCTCACTTCCGGACCTCCTCCCTGTTGCACGTCTGGAATGCTGCTGTGCTATTTGCATGACATCAGACTCTCCTTGACTTGGTGTAGTGGATGTCCCTGGACTTCTCCTTCACTAGCTCCCCACCACTGAGGGCTTCTTCCTATTGCTTAGTGCTGAAACTTGCCTAAACACTTCCGTCACCCCAGCAGATCTGTCTGGAGTCCTAGTCTGAGTCCCCACCTGGCCTGTCCCTTGCCCTCTGGGCTCCAGTTTTGACACACCATTAAGATAGAGTACCTGCCGGGGCACCTGGGTGGCTCAGTCGGTTAAGCGTCCGACTTCAGCTCAGGTCATGGTCTCACAGTATGTGGGTTTGAGCCCCGCATCGGGCTCTATGCTGACAGCCAGCTCAGAGCCTGGAGCCTGTTTCAGATCCTGTGTCTCCCTCTCTCTCTGACCCTCCCCTGTTCATGCTGTCTGCCTGTCTGTCTGTCTGTCTCTCTCTCTCTCTCTCTCTCTCTCAGAAATTAAAAAAAAAAAAAAAAGAGTACCTGCCAAGGGAATTGGCCTGGTATGGCATTTTTTCCACCAACAATTCGAGTCAGGTCGTCGATTGGTTGGGTGTGGCTACCCACATTGCTTTCAGCTTCAGTTGTATTTTCATAGTCTGCTGTGGAATTCTCATAGTCCGTCGTGGAAGTCTCATAGTCCGTATTGGAAAAAAAAATTTCAGCGCGGGTGTGCGTCGTAGAAATGTGTGGGACAGAAACTCTTCCGCATGGAAATGGCACTAAAAAAAAAAAAATGGGAAAAACAATTAGTGTTCCGGTATTTCTCATTGGCAAGTGGAGCCTGTGTTACAGAAATCGAGAATGAGAGCCATCCTGATCACTTCTGAGAAGCAGGCCTATCAGTAGTTTAAAAATCGAATCAATGAATATAGTCTCAAACTAAAAGGTTAATTGCATTATTTTCATGGAAAGTTTTCAAACCCTTCATGAAAAGAACATTTGGCTCGGGAATCCATCATCCTTACGGAAATAGAATAGGTGTTCCAGAATCCAATTTTGTAAGAGTTTGATAAAGTTTCATGACTTTTCTGTTGTGTTTCTTTACTGAAAAGGCTTAGTTGCCGGGCCTGTCCCTAAATAGAAATCTGATGAGCAGTGCCATGTAACTTTAACTTTAGAGTTAGGTAGTTGGGACTTCCCCTGCTTTTTGGGAATCAGGATTTCTTTTGTAGACGGAATACCTTCTAGACTCCAAGGTGGATTGAGGGATCTGCTGGGAAGAAATCATGATTTAATTATTTGGCTTGGTTAAGTATTAACCAAATAAACGACCGGGGCACCTGGCTGGCTCAGTTGGAAGGGCATGCGACCCTTGATCTCGGGGTCATGAGTTCGAGCCGCACATTGGGTATAGAGATGATTTAAATAAATAAATGGAAAAAAAAAAAAAAACCTTCAACCAAATAAATTGCTCATATGATTATCACAGCCACGTTCAGCCGGGACCTGGCCACCCTTTTACCTTGGGTCAGTTTATTTCCTAAAGACAGGAAGTTATCTCCTGACACACTGGGGACAACCAGAATGGAAATTTGTAGGCAAGCAAAGTTACCTCACATTTCATTTTCATTTCTCACGTTCTTTCTAGCCACATGCCTTGTAAGAGACATTTCTATAGCAACCAGCTGCAGCAAAGTATCATGAAGACAGCATGTGGTTGGGAAAACAGGAAATTAGTTCAAAATACTTATGTATAAATATAAATCATCAACAATGGCTTGAAAAAAAGGACCGTTACTATTGAAAGGCAGAAAAGCTTATTTTGGGTTTGGCCTACTTTACTAAAGATAAGGCTGTATTCTGATACAACACTTAATAGTTAGAGGTGGTTTTCAACTCGTTTTTTTCTTCTAACGTGGAAGGGTGTATAAGGGTGTAGCAAACTATGCCATCTGTCTACACTGGAAGTTAGTTGGATTTTGAATTTTTTTGTGTAACTATAAAACACTTTATTTTTACATTTTTTTTAATGTTTTATTTCTAGGAGAGAGAGAGACAGTGTGAGCAGGGGAGGGTCAGAGAGAGAGGGAGTCACAGACCGAAACAGGCTCCAGGCTCCGAGCCGGCAGTCAGCACAGAGCCCGACGCGGGGCTCGAACCCACGAACCGCGAGATCATGACCTAAGCGAAAGTCGGACGCTTAACCGACTAAGCCACCCAGGCGCCCCAAAACACTTTATTTTTAAAACGACCTCAGATTTGAAGGTTAAAACCTATAGCCATTGTCCTGGGGAGGTGGGCTAGCTGTGAGGCCCTGCATGTGAGGCAGAAGACAGGTGGGGAGGTCCCTGAAGCATTAGAAGCTGCTCTTCATTTTAGCTGCAACAGCATGTATACCCTTGGCTTCTGGTCATTTTTTGCAGTTTCCTCTGTCGGGTGCTCTGGTGAGATAGGCATTGAACCCGGTTCCAGAGGATCGGTGCATGGTTTAATGTACCCATTTAATATCAGGCTTTGAAAATGCAAAAGAAATTATATCTAGTTTGCTTCAAAAAGGCCCCTCATTTGTCAAATATAATTGATCCTTTGGAGCCTACTTTTTTTTTTTATATCAAAGTTTCTCGTGCTTTCGTTTTCAGAGAAGAGCAGTATGAGCATGGAGTGGAGGTGTTCTGAGTACACCAGTCAGCCGTCAGCGTGGTGGCCTGGCCGACACGACTGGGAAATACGGTTTCGTTCACTGCCGTATAGATGGACAGTGCGAACCAGCCTGGCACAACTTGTACCAGATGGTTGTTAGAACCATTCAGATGTCCAAGCACGTAAATTCTGCTCGACACCCAGGGATAGGAAACAACTTTACCAGAGCAGGCCGGCCACACTCTGGCAGGGTCCTGCTTTATATTCCCTATTCCGTGTACTAGAAGCCTATTGGTACATCATTTGTGTACCTTTCGTGGTCTCGGGTTACTACATTAATTTGAGTTGCTTAATTACAAATATATAGAAATCCTATAAATCAATTGCTTCATGATATAGAAGAAAAAAAATGGGCACAGTGAAGCATTCAGATTGAAGCCAGAGTTTCTATTTAAATTGATTATGCAGTTTGGAAAATTATCCAAGCTACTGATCTTTTCTATGATTTCAGAAGAGAGGGCCGCCTGGGTGGTTTGGTTGGTTGAGCATTGGACTTCGCCTCAGATCACGATCTCACGATTCATGAGTTCGAGCCCTGCATCGGGCTCTTTGCTGTCAGTGTGGAGCTCGCTTCAAATCCTCTGTCCGCACATCTCTCTGCACCTCCCTGGCTCATGTGATCTCTCTCTCTCTCTCTCCCTCCCTCGCTCCTTCTCTCCCTCTCCCCCCCCCTCATTCTCAAACAAAAATAAACATTAAAAAAATAGTATCAGGAAAAGAGTTGTCTACCTGTAATTAACAAAACACCGAAATTATTTTTTAAAAAAGTAGGGATTATAAAAGTACGTAGGCTAGTTAAAATGCTGAAGGTTCAAATATAGATTTGGAGAATGCACCCCCCCCCCCAGCTTAAAAAAAACAACACTACCACATTGAGCTTTTCACCTGCTGGTTCACAGGACTTCTGATCCTCTGCAAGCTGGTACCCAGTAGTGCAGGAGCAAAGCACCTTGTTCTCAGCATCCAGTTTACAAAACTGCTTGCACCTGCCATTCTTGATGTTACACGTCACATCTGAAAGGAAGCCAAATCACCAGTAATAGCATCAGTTCACATGCATTTCTAAAAAGTACATGGGGGCGCCTGGGTGGCTTAGTCGGTTGAGCGACCGACTTTCGCTCAGGTCATGATCTCGCGGTTCGTGGGTTCGAGCCCCGCGTCGGGCTCTGTGCTGACTGCCAGCTCAGAGCCTGGAGCCTGCTTCAGTCTGTGACTCCCTCTCTCTCTGACCCTCCCCTGCTCACGCTCTCTCTCTCTGTCTCTCTCTCCTAGAGATAAATAAAACATTAAAAAAAAACAAAAGTACATGCAGCTCCTCACTCGTGTACACGTCAGATCTAAGCAGGGGGCATTCATGGTGAGAGGCTTGGGAGCCTCGAGCTAAGCGTAGAAAGAGATAAAATCCTTAATAAGGCATAAAAGGGCAGCAATATATTGGATTTGGCATAAAACTGAAGGTTTGGATATTCTGCTTTCACAAAATCTTGGACTGCAATGAAAAAAAAACCTGTTTGTTAGCAGATGATCTACATTCAGAGAAATCCCCAAAACTTCATGGTGAATTTTCACAAAGTATGTGCACCTGTTTAAACAACGAACGGACCCATGTATAGGACATTGCTCCCCTCCCAGAAGCTCTCGTAATGCCGCCTTCTAGCACTACACCATTCCTCCTTTCCAGAGGCACCATTACCCCCAGATTTGAACAGTGAATTTTGCCTCTTTGTGAACTTTGTATCAATAGAAGTTCACAATGTGCAGTCCTCTGTGTCTTTCATTTAACACTTTGTGAGATTCATCCGTGTTCTTTGTACAGCATCAGTTTATTGATGTGCTGTGTTGTACTCCGTTGTGTGAATATTACTATCTTTATCCATTTTACTCTTGATGAATATTTGAGGCGAGTTTCCAGTTTTTGCCTCTTAGGTATAATGCTGTAATGGATATTCTTTTTAAAAAAATTTTTTTAATGTTTTATTTAGTTTTGAGAGAGAGAGACAGCATGAGTAGGGGAGGGTCAGAGAGAGAGAGGGAGACATAGAATCCGAAGACAGGCTCCAGGCTCTGAGCTGGCTGTCAGCACAGAGCCCGATGTGGGGCTCAAACCCACGAACCGTGAGATCATGACCTGAGCCGAAGTCGGACGCTTAACCGACTGAGCCATCCAGGTGCCCCGAGTAATGGCTATTCTTAAGCATATCTTTTGGTACCATGTGCACGAATACCGGATATGTACCTCCGGGCGCAGTTACTGGATTGTATGCTCAGATTGAGTAGACACTGCCAAGTGAGTTTTCTAACGTCAACGTACAAATTTTAAATTCCCACCATCAGTGTGTGAGAGTTCCAGTTCTTGGACATAAGTATTGCAGGTTTCTTTTCCCACTCTGACTTGTGTCTTTGTTCCAGTGTATTTTGCTGAATAGAAGTTCACAGTTTTAATAGAATCCAATTTATCTAAGCACACTTGAAGCTTGCCAAGGTGAGCATAGGTCAACACAAGAAAATGAAATTGGGTCCTTTAAGGTGGCTACATGCCAAAGATATTATGTGTTGGCAATGACGAGCATTCTAGTGGCCCACAGTTTCTTGACTTTCCTGTACAGTCTCCCTTATTCACAGGAAGTATTGTCCCTTATAATGCTTTTTGTCTTGGTCTTGGAGTCTATTTTGTGTGATACTGAGATTGCTTCACCGGCTTCTTTTTGTTAGCATTTACCTAAACATCTTTTTATATCCCTTTATTTTAGTCTCCTGGCGTAATTTTATTTTAGGCACCTCTCTTGTCAGCCGCATACAATTCGATTTTTAACTCCAGCCTGAAAATTTGCCTTTAACCCCAAAGTATATTAATTCTGATTTCCAATATCTTTGGCTTATTCCTGCCATCTGATTTGGCATTTTTTCAATTACTGCGCTTTCCCTTTGTTTCTTTGATGTGGTCTGGCTAGCAGGAAGTAGCATGGGTCAGGGCTGGCTAGCTGACACTTGCTGGGTTCAGAGGAACGGGCCTATTTCTGGAGCAGCACAGGAACACACCGACCAGGGGCCCCCTTCCCTCTTCCCACCTACTCGACAACTTACAATAGAAATGCTCACTTGCGGTGCAGTTAGACCATGGAAAGTCTGAAGACGAGAGACTGTATTAAACGCCACCTGTGTACCACCTTAGTTCCTCTCGGCCTCATGGGTGTCTTTTCCCAGCACCGTGGCCGTCAGCTCTGCATCGACTGCCCCTGACCTCAAATGGGTGCAGCCTTGAGTTGGCTGGGCTCCTATCTACACTACTGGCCTCTCCCCTCTTACCTTCGCTCTTCCCTGTTGTGGCTAAGGCACGGCATGCCATATGACCTCTCCAGGTGCCCCAACATGCACAGCCTGGACATGGGGGGGGGGACTTAACACCCCCTCCGCTAAACTTTTGACCACTGAGGGACAGATGCTGCTGGGCAAACTCTTTCCCTTCTTCTCCCCTCCCAGATGGACTGGCCCAAGGCCAGTTCCTGTGGCTCCTTGGAAAACAGTCCCAAGAGACCCAGGAATCAGATGCACGTGAGGAGAGAGGACTCTATTATTCTCCTTTCCTCCTTACCCCGCCCCCTGTCCCTTACTCTTGCTCCGTAATAAATAAGGTTGAGTCACAGACTCTATTTTTTTTTTTTTCTTCCTGGAGGAATCCAGGCTAACAGAGTGACTGTATAGTTTTGGAGTATATTATGCATTGTTGAGTGACAGATCTAAATTTTCTAACTCTGTTTTACCTAGGCTAGCATAGGTTAACATAATGATTTGTTCTGTTCCTTATACTTAAGGAATTAAGGGGAGGCAGGGTCGCCTGGGCGGCTCAGCTGGTTGAGTGTCTGGCTCTTGATCTCCGCTCAGGTCTTGATCTCCCGGGTTGTGAGTTCAAGCCCTGCGGTGGGCTCCACATTGGGTGTGGGGCCCAAACAGGAATTAAGGGAAAGGTAAATCAGCTGCTCCCAGGGAGGCAAAGGAACCGGCCAGAGCTTTAACCTTTGCTGCCAATAATGCACTAAATGCATAATCTAAAAGGTGGCACTTGATCCTTTGTATTTGTTTTTCAAAGACCTTTCTCCTCAAGGGGATTACATCCCCGGCCCTTTTCATGTTATTGGCCACCATTTTGTTGCTACAAAGCAATACTAAAGTGTTCAGCCAAGTCAAATACCACCTGTAGAAAGTGTTCAGTCAATATGACATTGGAGTAAGTCAACAGAGGTAGGTGGGAGGTGCTGTGGCCTGATTTGGTTCAGGCCACGCACAGCGGGAATGAATGGACTCGGTGTGGCGTTCCCAGTTCTGCTTCTGTGTCCTTGGCTAAGCGATTAGACCTCTCTACCATTTTCCTCACTTGTCATTTTTCTTCATGGATTGGGTTGTGTGTGCAGTGGGGAATAGTGCTGTCCAGTCAGCAGTCTTTGCTGTCAGATCAAGGACTCAGGATTCTGGGAACAGAATGATAGCACAAGGAATTCCAGTGGCGATGTCCCTAGCCCCGGATCTAAGGAACAGGCACTTAGGGGCTCATTCATCAATGCTTTATTGAGCATTTAGATGTCAGGCGCTGTGTTGGGTATGGGTTCTCCCTGGTCCTGAGGCTGGTCTCTGTGCTTAGACTCTCCGTTGAGCCTCTCAACGCATCTGTTTTTTCCCCTTCACGTCAGCACGGAGACCGCCTTCTAATTCCCCTCGTGCTTGCCGCCCGAGTTCTCCTGTCCTGCTTTGCTTTATTCTGCCTTCATCCTCCCTCACATATTCACTCACGTAAAACCAAAGCATGGACAAAAGACGTTCTATTTCACAAGCTTACCATGGCATATGCTGTTACTCAGCCACATTCAAGGTATTTTCTTCATTCCACAGAGATACTCCGTAAATAAGAGCGTGGTATCTATGAGGTGTTACCAGAGTGAAAAACGTGTTTATGTTGCTTGTGATTCTGTTTTTCTCCCCGTCCTAGCTTACTGTATAGGTGGATGTCTCTTATAGTCTTTAGAGGGGACAAGAGTGACCCAAGTTCCTACACACCTTGAGCTATCTGGAAAGGCCTCAGATGTCATGTGTAAATGGAAACATACAGTGGTCATTATTCTAAGGACACAATAGCCAATTAATTGTTATTCTTTGAACTAGAAAGCATGCCCTGCATGTTTGTACCTCTCTCTCTGGAGAGGAGCCTGATGGACTAGGGAAAAGGCAAATAACAAGATCTTGACAATAGAAATCTCTTCCCTCCCCTCCTGCCCCCCCCCATCAAGACAAGGCTGAGGCAAGAAACTCGGGGCCTCGATTCTCTATAAACTGTGCCACTTAGCCTTTGAGGTCAGTCTGTAGATCAGTTTGAAGCGACAGCTTAAGTGGGAGCTGGTATATGCTTTTGCTTTCCTCTGGTGTAGGAGATAAAGAGATTTTTGAGAGGATCCCCACTTTGTTTCTGAACTAACTGTGCCGAGAGGATTTCTCTAGACCTTGCTCAGGCAGGCTGGGGGAGATCGAGGCTCCCAGGAGGCCAGATGTGGTGGTAGATGTGGTGCAGCTGCAGAGCTCTGACCACAGCGGAACGTGGGGAACCTGAGGCCTGAGATGGTGACAGCTGTAGACTTGGCACTTGTGCCATGTGGCCCATAGCTTCACACAGGCGGCAGAGTGTGCTACAGAAGTTTTGTGCTTATATTTACATTCCTTGGGCAGTGAGTCTCCATTAAAGTGTCTTTGTTTTGTTTTATTTTTAAGTTTATTTATTTTGAGTGAGAGGGAGAGAGAGTGAGAGCGAGCTTGGAAAGGAGGGAAAGTGAGAATCCTAAGCAGGCTTCGCACCATCAGCGCAGAAACCAATATGGGGCTCGAACTCATGAACTGTGAGATCATGACCTAAGCCGAAACCAAGAGTCGGATGCTCAAGCGACTAAACCACCCACGTGTCCCTAAAGTATCTTTATTTTAAACTAAAGACATTTAGGAACATTTAATGCTAGATATTTTTTTTAATTGCTCCTAATTTTATTTCATTTTATTTTCTAAAGTAAGCTGTGCCCAACGTGGGGCTTGAACTCATGACCACGAGATCAAGAGTTGCATGCTCTATTGATGTAGCCAGCCAGGCACCTCACTAACCACTATTTTCAATTATACTTTACTACAGTGTGCCCTTCATTTTTAACAGAGACTAATTGAGCTATTCATTCCCTCAGTTCCAATGGTTATATTATTTAAGCTGATAATGAGTAACTACTCCAAAGAGTTCCATAAGTTTCCATAATAGCAGGATCAGATTTATCTAGGTAAGTCTGAATTTGAAATTAGAACCTTTCAGATGAAAGCGCTACAGAGATTGTGAACCACACCCACAGGCATTGGGTGGCTTTGTCCCCATGCTGGCAAGTCTGAGGGGGTGGGGGTCCAAGCCAGGGCTAATCCACCCGCATCCACTCTTTTCTTCTTCAGGGTTTTTGCCTGGCCACTTTGTCCTTTTTTTCCTCTTCTTTCTTTTTTATCTTTTAGCTCTCAAAGGAAGATTATCACTGGAGCTCTCTTTAGTGCTGAAAAGATTTCTAAATGACATTACAGGTGACTTTTTTTTTCCCTTTGTCTGTAGGACAACTGCAGCTGCTGACTTTCATTTTGTTTTCTGCCTTTTTCATCTGTCAGGCGGATGGCTAGAAAGTCTTAATAGACTCCCGCTAATTCTCTGCTCTTTGCCCTTAGTCACGTTGGCTGTGCTGTTAAAGTCTTTCCCTCGGATTGCATCTCCATTCTCCGGAGTTTCAGAGTAGAAAGAGGATGTGTCATTAGCATGGTGTGTCTTTTACAACCATAATACCAGTAATCTTGCATCCAGAGATAATAAGCAAGTAGGAGAGGACTTTGGGATTTAATGCTCCAATTGCCAAAACCTCAGCAGAAAAAAAAAAATCTAGACTATGAGGAGAAAGGAGGCACAGTGCTCCTCGGTTTGCTATGTAACTGTCCGTGTGATCCATGTGGTCAAATCCGGGAGTGAGCTCTGATTTTTGTGAACAAATTTAATACGTGAAGCCATCTGTCTGTGCAGAGAAGCATGTGTTCTATGGCGAATTGGCCTCACCATAGCTCGATTCTGTACTTAATGGACTGCCACCACCTGTGTTGATAACACTTTAGTCGTGAGCTCAAACAGTTTTATGGGTTTGGTCTTCTTTGCATTTTGTGGATAGTAGTTAGAAGCGTTTGGTCAGACAAACTGAAGTTCAAATTCTGGCTCAGCCGTTTATTGGCTCTATGATTTTGAGCTGTTTGAGCTGTAGTTTCCTCGCCCGCATAGAACAGGGATACTAATGGTACTGGCCGCACCGGTTGTATTGAGGGTTACTAGCAGGGGAGGGCATCATTACCACAGAATACTAGCCACCAAATGTTGTTATTCCCCCTACTTAGTTTTGTGAACTCATCCAAGAAACTATGACTACAGACGCAATGAATGTTCATAAGCTTCGGAAGTATATGACTTATATACACTGGCATAGCGTCCACGCTTCTTAAAAAAGGGACTCCTGTCCTATGTGACAAGATGGATGAAGCCAGAGGACGTTATGCTAAATGAAAGAAGCCAGTCACAGAAGGAGAAATACCACATGATTTCACTCATCTGAGGTATCTCAAATAGTCACATGCAGAAACAGAGACTACAGTTGAGCGTGCCAGGGGCTGAGGGAAGGGGAAAATGGGAAGTTGCTGGTCAGTGGGTATGAAGTTTGAGTTCTGCAAGCTGAGTGAGTTCTAGAGATGCACTTGCTGTACAGCATAGTGTGTAGAGTGAATGATATGATATTTATCGTACACTTCAAAATGTGTTAAGAGCACAGATCTCATGGTAAGTGTACTTCAATAAGAGCATGTTTTTGAGAGCAGCTTCTACATAAATATTACATTTTCCAGTTTCATCTGGTTTCACAAGGAAACGTGGAATCACGAGGAATCGAAAAAGAGTTACTTACCAGGGCACCTGGGTGGCTCAGTCAGTTAAGCATCCGACTTCGGCTCAGGTCATGATCTCACAGCTCATGGATTCGAGTCCCATTGTCAGGCTCTGTGCTGACAGGTCAGAGCCTGGAGCCAGCTTCACATTCTGTGTCTCTCTCTCTCTGCCTCTCCCCCGCTTGCATTCATTCTCTCTGTCTCTGTCTCTCTCTCTCTCTCTCAAAAATAAACATACATTAAAAACATTAAAAAAAGTTACTTACCTAACTCACAGTTCTTTCCTTCAAATCCAATCTGACACCAGCATTCATAGGAATTAATGCCATCTTTGCATATGCCGCCATTTAAACATGGATTGGACTCACATTGATCTCCATCTTTGAGATAGGTTAAGATAAAGTTGAGTTAGCAAAGAAACTTCTTAGAATGCCTCCTTGCACAGACTTGTGGGGAAGGGGAGCCTGATTTTAGGGTCAGAACTGCTGATCCTGCACCTTATGGGATGCCCCTGTCTTCCTGAGTGTCTGAAAACAACCCAAAGGTTCTGAGGCTAATACCATCCTAGAAAATGCCTGGGGAAGGCATGCGTGTAGTTTGTGCAACCCAAGGAAAGAGGAAGAAGGGGAAGAGGTCTGAGGTCAGAAATGGACTGTGTGAGCCTAGAGAGAGAAGGGTTTTCATTCCTTTCTTATAGAACGATGGCGAGTTCATTCTGAATCAAATCACGTCACTTCAGCCATTATTATCTCTCTGTCCTTCAGGACCTGCTATTGAAGGTCTCACCCGACATGCCGAGCATGGCAGCACGTGGTACTTCCACTCAGAATGGGCAGCCTAAGCTTGGAGCAAATGCATCCACTTCCTTGTGTTATCATTTAACTTTTTAAAAGTATAGCGGTGAGAAGCAGCTTTTATTTTTTTTTTTAAGTTTTTTAAAGTTTTAATTTTTATAAATTTAAAAACAAACGTTAAAGTTTTTATTTCCGTTTCAGTCAGTCGACATGCAGTGTCTTAGCGGTTTCAGGTGAGAAACCACTTTTAATACAAGGAATTAAGCATGAAAAGATCCCAAGATCTGCTTTATTTATGTAGAGATTGGCTACGTGTCCTGTCTGCCTTTCCGGAAGTTGGTACATTTCCAGAGTCCTTGAGAGCCTTTGAAGACACCGGTGGAAAGAGAACAGGAGGAAAGAATAGGCAAGAGGGGAAGGGTCAGGATGAGAAGGGAGCCTTCCGGTCTGGTTTCTGAATGCTCAATCCACACTTCTAAGGAAACTTCGGGAGAAAGGGATGAATAGAACCAGAAGGGAGACCGGTACACACTTTGAGCTAAGAGAAACAGCCCCGAAGGAAAAGAAAATCGGGGCCGGATCTGCAAGAGGAAGAGGTGAAAGCTGACCTCAGGATGAAAGAAGGAAGCAGAGGGCAACCGGAGAGGCATTTCTCATTGTCAGTCACACCGCCTGCCACCTAGCGTGTACATGTGCCCGCTCCGGGGGGGGGTCGGCCGCGCATCTGTCCCGTTCCCAATCACTATGGATCCGGCTCCCGTTGACACAGGGTTCCTGTCCCTTTCTCGGAAATAGTCCCTCTCTGGAAGGCCCGCTGGCGGTAAAGATTAGACCTTGCCCCCTCTGCCCCTTGATCCAATGTGCTTTTGCCCGGCCAGTTCAATTTGTTCCAATTCTCTGAAAACAAAATACGTTATCTCTGGTTTATTATTATTGATGTTCAAACTGGTCTAAAAAACGAGCTACATTTGCACTTTATATTATAGACCAGCGGGGCTGAATTATTTAGGATGTTTCACTGAAAGGGTCTGGGCTTGCAGCCAGCGACGCAGCAGCTCATTTGCTGAGACATATCTTCAAAACGAGTGTCGTTTTATCCGGCATTTCGTCCCCCTTCGGGTGCTTGTCTGCGTGTACTCTGGGCTCAGGCAAAGCCACGGACGGCAGGGGTCAAAGACAATAAGGGGACAAGACCTTGCCAAGCGAGAGATTCCTGTTTACGGCTACAAGGTGGCTGTTTAATGAGTAACTGCATCCAGATTTCAAGGCCGGGAGGGGTGATAGTGAAAGCAAGGGCTTGCACATTAGAGAATTTGGGTTCTTTTCCGGGCTCTGTGCCCCCCCCCCCCCCCCCCCCCCCCCCCCCCCCCCCCCCCCCCGCCAAACTGGGTGACCTTTGGCAAGTCTTTTAGCCTCCCTAAGCCTCAGCGCCCTCTGCAAAACGAGGTGAATAATGCTTTGCTGCCAGGGCTGGTGTGAGGATTAAATAGGACAGGCACTCGGCGCACCGTAAAGTGCTTGACACCTGCGAGCCCCTGTGCTCGGACGGTCCGTCTGCCTCAGACACGCTCTGGCCGGGCTGAGCCGATGGCAGAGAGTGAAGTGGGCGTGACGGCCCTGCGACCCGCGCCATGTACAAGCCTGCACAGTAAGAAGGAGCCTCGGTGTTTCTTGCGGAAGTGACTCGCGGCATGACGTTGTTTTCTTTTTGCTTTGTTTTTGTTCTTGTTTTTGATGGACAAAGGAGTAGGGACGGAATCATGCCTCTGATGTTTCCGAGATGTCTTGGCCCAAGATACAGTAAACCGCGCGGCCTGTGACCTGGAAGGCACGGGCTCAGCTTCAAGTTTGGGGGGAAGGGAAGTCAACATTGATTTGCTTTAAAAATGTGTCACAGGGCGCCTGGATGGCTCAGTCAGTTAAGCGTCTGAGCTGGTTTCAACTCCAGTTTCACGGTTTGCAAGTCCAAGCCCCACGACATGCTCTGTGCGGACAATGTGGAACCCGCTTGGGATTCCCTCTTTCTCCCTCTCTCTCTGCCCCCTCGGCGTTCGCACCCTCTGTCTCGCTCAAAAGAAAGAAACTTTAAAAAATATACATCACAAGGGGCGCGTGGCTGGCTCATGTCAGTGGAGTGTGCGACTCTTGATTTCGGGGTTGAGGGTTCAAGCCTCATCTTGGGTGTAGAGATTACTTAAAAATAGGATCTTAAAAAAAATGAATCACCGGATTTAAAGTTTAAATATAATAGAAACAGAATAAAAAGACCTGTTGGGACGAACTGCAGGGGAATTACCCGAGTGGAGAATTGCCGTGGTAGCGTTCATTACTAACAACGAGGAAAGGCAAAGTAAATGTAATGGAGTGGACCTCACCCTTCCTCATGATTTAAAAACAAAAGCAGATGGGGCACCTGGCTGGCTCAGTTGGTTAGAGCATGTGTCTCTTGATCTCAGGGTTGTGGGTTCAAGCCCCATGTCGGGTGTAGAGATTACTTAAAAAAAAAATCATCTTAAGAAAACAAAAACAAAAGTGGAGACGTTATGAGCTCCTAGCATATGAATAAGTCTAATAGTATCTCCAGGATGGCAACTGGGAAACAGAACTGGATCTCCAAGTGCTGGAGGTCCACGAATTTGCTCTCCCGGTTTCGTCCACACAGGCAGGTAAGTCAGCCTCTGGGGCTTACGCTTCCTCAGAATCCTGCTTCTGGATTTTACAGTAGTTTTCAAAGCTCAGTTGTCATGAAAGCTTTGACTTTTCCTCTTTTTGGTCGATTCATTCAACAGATATTTACTCAGTGCTTCTGTCCCAGACAGTGCTTGACGTACGGGGAGTACATCAGTAAAGAAAACGCTTGAACGCCCCTGCCACCGTGAAGCTTATATTCTAATGAGGTGAGGAAAACAGATAATAAACAGCACAGATAAGAACGTCATAGGTTACCTCAGATGGCGAAACGTGCTATGAAAAATAACAGGGCAGGATGCGTTATCTAGGTAATGGGGCTACGGGGAGGCGGGTTGAAGTACTGATAGATGATCAAGGTAGGCTTCATGGAGATGGTGATGCTTGGGTGGGTGGAGAGCTGAAGGAGGTGAGGGAACGAGCCTAGGGGAACCTGGCACGTTAAAGGAACAGCCAGATCAAACACCAGAGCAGAAGCATTCCTGGGGGTGCAGGGAGCCGCAGGGAGGCCAGGATGGCTGGCGGACCCCCACTCCCACCCCTCCCTGAGTGTGAGAAGGTGAGCAGGAGGAGGGGGTCCGAGGGCCAGTGTGAAGGGAGGGCCAGGACGATCATGGGAGCTAGGAGCCATGGAGGCCATCATAAGGAGGAGGACTTGTACTAGACAATAAACAGTGCAGCCCATTAGCATCGTCACGTTCTCTGCTGAAGACCGTGACCTCTGATTCAGTCCCCAGATACAGTCGCCCTCATAGTTTCCTCCCTCCGGCTGCCTGGGCGCGGCTGTGTGTTTTTAAAGCCCTGGGGAGGGGTGAGCTTATCTGTCAGCCGATCTCTCCAGTATGGCCAGAAACCTGTCATATGTCACCATTCAGTCTTGGGTAGAAGAGTCGGACCCTTTTGACAGAGTTGAATATATTGTCCGTTTACACAGAGGCGTGATACGTAATTCTCCAGTGTTTCATGTACCAGCTAGGGGAAAAAATTAATTGCTTACCAACATACTGCTTCCAAAATTCAACCTATAAAGAAAAAAGAAGGCAAGTTAATGGCGGTACTTAACTGGTTTTGGATTTGATTCCTTCCCTTCTGTAACATTTATGATACATACACGTGTATAGGTATTTTAACATTCCAAAGAGACCGACCTTCCTTCCTTCCTTCCTTCCTTCTTTTTCTTTCTTTCTTTCTTTCTTTCTTTCTTTCTTTCTTTCTTTCTTTCTTTCTTTCTTTCTGGGTTTTCTGTTCTTTGCCTCTGATGAATGCTATGGGGCAAATACTCACGGTTTTTTCGGTGTTTTCAAAAACTTCTCGCGCTTCTTCAAAACTACACTTCTCTTCCATACATTCTCTCTCAAGGTTCCCTTGAACAAACTCCTCCAGTTTGCCGGAATTATACCTCTTGGGCCGACTCAGAATTTTTGCGGCATCTTCGCGATCGAGAAAAACTGAAATTTAAAAAGACCTATTCTTTAGCTTTACGAGAAAGAAAACTTCATGCAAATTAAATACCTCCCTTAAGAAAGGCTTTGTTTTTAATCCAAGGAATCCCAAAGCCAATTTATCTTTGGGGCCTGGAGCCAAAAATCTGCGAGGTCCTCACATGGTGCTGTATCCACACGGAGCTTTAGGAATTAAAATTCAATTTGGCTTTTAGTCAAGAGAGCGCCAGGAATGAAAGGTCAGATTTCTCAATCGTATTTGAATTTACTTTGGATGAGAAAAGAAAGTTTTCAAATAAGCAGTTAACTTCACACTTTGTCATCATTTGAAAATAGCTAATTTCAGGTCCTCGCAAGGTCATCCGTCACCGTGACCGGGCTGTGTGTTCAGGATGCGGTTGCCCACGTGACTTTGCAACAAATTTCTCCCGGTAGGACGGAGGCCTGATTGTGGTCTTTCGCTGGGATTCAAGATGTGACTTCTTTTAGCTCTGCCCGCCTGCCGGTGGGGCAGTCCTGAACTCTGGAGGATTGAGGTCTCTAAGCGAATTCTCTCCTTCCCTCCCTCACCACACTCAAATCTCTCTCTCTCTCTCTCTGTCTAGATAGATAGATAGATACAGAAAACATACCTACATCTATCATTAAAAAAAAACATTTGTTTATTTTAAGAGTGAGATACATCGCGAGCAGCGGAGGGGCAGAGAGAGGAGAGACAGAATCCCAAGCAGGCTCTGCACTGTCAGTGCACGGTCCAGTACGGGGCTCGAACTCACGAACCGTGTCATCACGACTGGAGCCGGATGCTTAACCAAGTGAGCCACCCAGTTGTTAATTATAATTGTTTATTAACAATTATTTATAACAATAAATATTTACATTTACTTATATTTATATAAATATAAATATATTTATAACAATAAATATTAATAAATATTTATAACAATTGTTTATAAACAATTATAATTAACAACAGGAACTTGAGAAGTTGCTGGAGTTGTTCCTTTCTTCAAGGGACCGATACCACGTCAACAGGACCAAGTGCCTATAAGATGAACTTTCCAGGCATTCTGGGACTGCTTTCTCATGAATTCGAAGAAAACAAATCAGAAACACAAACTAAACTCTCTTCCCTGATTTTCCTGGCAGCTGTTCACTTTATGGAAACTTCTGGTCCCCCGACAGCCACGCTTTTCTCTGACTCTGCGAGTCCTCTAGGGCCTCACTTTTTTTCCTGAATTTAGCAGACTTTTGCTCTTCAGCTCTTGCCAACTTTCTCAGTTCCCTTCACTCCTCCTATGCCGCCGCCAGATCAGTGCGGCCATCTGCCTGTCTTCCTTCCGAGGCAGCCCAGCATCGTAGGACAAGAACACCAGGCTGCAGACGGATGCCACCACATACTGATGCCTCCCGGCCTCCCCAGCAGGCCCTCCTCTCTGCCTGGCAATCCGTCTGCCCGGCCCTGGGCGCCCCTTCCATAGCGTCTACGTCCGCATCCAGTTACTGGGGTTTGCAGTCACCTCGGCCACTCCCACATTTGAATACCGTATCTACCACCTATTGGCCGGGACACATTAGGCAAGCGACGGAATCCATAATCCGGTGAAGCTTAACTCAGTCAGATGCAAGATGGGTATAGCAGTAGTATAAGAAGAATATTTAGCTCACGGTGTTGTTGATGGGATCAGGGAGCGGATGCGTGTAGACAGCACGTGGTGTATGCTGGCTCGCTCTCTTTCCCCCTACTCCCCTCGCGCTGGCCCGCCTTCCTGTTTCTCAGTTCCCTTTTTAGCTCCTTTGTGCACTTTTCTGTAGCTCTTCCTTTAGTCCCGTGCACATCATGAAATGACTATTGTCAGGATGGGCAGTGACCTCCTAAAGGATAATTTGAGTTTATGCATGTCCTGACCGCTCTGAAACATTTCTAATGCTTGATCTCTCTTTCTTCAGGGTTCTTCTTCCACGGAGTCACTCCGTTCTCAGTCTTCTCTCTGCTCCAGGTCTTGTTACTCACCCCCCACTTGAATCGATTCATTCCCCTTTGCCTGCCTGCCTTTCAAATGTCCAGAGGTCTCCCAGGTTCCTGCCTCAGCCTTTTCACGCCATTCGACTTTACCAGGGCCGGGACTAGGGTGAGGTCCCCAAGGCACAGAATTGAAGGAGACACACGCTCTCAGGGTGTGTGCAAGTACATTTAGGCTCTGTGTACCTTGGTTGCCTCACCCTAGTCCAGCCCTGACTCTTTCAACACCGTTTTCTTTCTTTCTTTCTTTTTTAAGTTTATTTATTTTGAGAGAGAGAGAGAGAGAGAGAGAGAGAGAATCCCAAGCAGGCTCTGTGCTATCAGTGTGGAGCCTGACATGGGTGGGGCTTAAACCCACGAACTGTGAGATCATGACAAACCCACGAACTGTGAGATCATGACCTGAGCCGAAACCAAGAGCCGGCTCCTTAACTGACTGAGCCACCCAGGTGCCCCTCAACACCATTTTCTGAGCACTCGCTGCAGTCAGGCACTGTGCTAGATCCCACATTACCCATGCTCCCTCCCTGGATCCCCACACACAGTCGTTCAGTACCCTTTCTACAACGGTGGGCTCCAAATATCTATCTCTAGTCAGATACATCTTCTGAATTCCAGATCATCTTCCCGTTTCCCTAACTGTACGTTGTCATGTGACAAATCAGAGCCGAGGGTTATCTAATGCTTCTGGCTGGGCGTGGTGCTCCATGCTTTGCAGCCATCGTTTCATTCCGTCCTCACAGCGGCTCCATGACATTGAACCTGACATCTCATGTTTGTAAATGAGGAAAATGGAGTCTCAGAGAGGTTAAGTAATTGGCCCTGGGTAACACACTGACAAATCAGAGCCAGGGTCTAGACTTCGGCAGCCAGACTGCACAGTCCATGCTTGTAGGTACTGTGCTGTGTCCTGGAGTCACATCAGATACCCCGGGTGTGGACTTCATGCTTCTCCGAGCCTGCTCCCCTTCCATACCCAGATGGGTAAAAGTCCCATCGTTTCTGCTCCCATGATGTCACTCGAATTCCTTCCCTCCTCATCTGTCTACACAGCTAATGTCCAGGCTCAGGCCCTCACGCCTTCTCTGGATGATTGCAGTGGCTTCAAGATGGTCACCCCAGGTCTCGCCACCCCTTCCTCCAACAGTTCATTGGAATGTTGCCAGACTCATGATAGGTCCTGGCGAATGAAGAGTGCACCTGTCACGGTGAGCACCGAGTGGCGTATGGAATCGCCGAACCGCTATGTTGTACACCTGAAGCTAACAATCTATGTAAACTATACACTGGGATGAAAGTAAAAAATGTCATAAGAAAAAAAACAGTAAAAAAAAAAAAAAATGTTGCCAGGCTGAACGTTCTAGATTAGCCATCAGTGCCATTCACGGTTACGCTTCCGTCAACCCAACAATTGGGCTCTGTTGTCCCAACTCCTTAGTTTCAGGCCTTTGTCATCTGGTGACCTGACCCTGTCTAGCTATCCTACCTTGCTTGTCATATTTAGTATTCAGAACACCCTGAGTTCCTGAAAGACCTCACATTCTTTGTGGATCTGGCTCTTTGCACGTGAGTGAGTCTCTGCATAGAATGCCCTAGATCAGACATTTAAGCACAGTGAACCTACTCATCTTTTAAGGCCCAGCCCCCAAAGCTGTGTCTCTGCCAAGTGTTTTCCTGGTTAATGTGCTCCTTTGTGCTCCCGTGGGTGGTACCAGGTACCCGTGTTGTCACATTACATTGAAATCTCTCACCTGACCTCATGGTGCTTTAGGTCAGAGAGGGAGTCTGGATGTCCCCCGCGCCCCCGATACCTCACCCCAATACCTCACGTCATAGTAGCCGCTCAGCCTTGTGAAGTTCTGTAAAGCGTATGGACCGAAGTGGTCTTCGGTCTGTTCATTTCGTGCATTCGTTCTGAAGGGAAGGCCCCTTCAGTCCCTACCCTTTACCAGATTGAATTGGTTCCGCAGAACGGGTTTGATTTCAAAATTCTAACCTGATGCAAAGAATGCCTAACGGCACAGTCCTGAACATGCGCCTCCATAAGCCGTTCACAGAAACAGGTTTTAGAAGCCAGTGACCACCTCACAGCAGAAGAGAGTGCTGCATTAGAACTGTCCACCCTTCAGGAAACTTCCCCCGGCTCTCTCCTCAAGGGCTTGTTCTCTCTGACTGCAGTGACTCTGGAATCACACTGCCTTTCTCCGCAGTATCGTTTGACGGTCATATATTCAGCCTCTCTTCGGGTTTATCTCTTCCAGCCATTCTTTCCCCAGCTCTGAAACGCTAGCCCCCCTCCCCGCTCCATACCTATCCCTTTCCCCCCAGTGTCTGAGGTCTTCAAGGGAGCAATAGCCTTCTTGAAACCTCCATTATCTCACCACTTATCTTGAAGGAAGAAGGGCTTGGATCTTTTGTCGTCCTCCATCTCACGCTGATGAGCCGTGTGTAAAGACTTAGCTTTATGTCCCGCTTGGTGAATTTTCCAGCTGAATTTCTTTATTTCTGCACCATAACGACTTTGCTAGTTAGATTTATCCTTTGCCTTCTCGTATCCTCATTTCTGCATTTCAGTGTGACATCATGTCTGGAGTGGGAAGCACAGGGCCAGTCTGATGTCCGGGACCCTCGGGGTTGGCACCCTGATCCTGGCGCCGTCAGCTGCTAGATTTCATTATAGTGGGTTGACAAGTAAGGGTGATAAATGCTTCCTGTGAGAACACGCTGTTTGCCTAAATGGGGTAATTCCTCTCCTGTGTGCGTGCCTTTGGGAAATGCATATAGTCACTGCAGTTTAGGGGCGCCTGGGTGACTTCACCCTAGGTCATGATCTCACGGTCTGTGAGTTCGGGTCCCGCGTCGGGCTCTGTGCTGACAGCTCAGAGCCTGGAGCCTGCTTTGGATTCTGTGTCTCCCTTTCTCTCTGCCCCTCCCCCGCTCACACTCTTTCTCTCTCCCCGTCTCTCTCTCTCAAAAATAAACAAACATTAAAAATTTAAAAAGTCACTGAAGTTGTGAAAGAAACAAGCAAGATCTATGTTCCCACTCCTTATGTCAGCTCTTGGACTTGTTTCACTCAAGTAAATATTGAGTTTCCCCATGTACTAACTGCGAGATGTTCAGAAGCAGAGACAAAATAATTTCTCCTAATATGTGAAAAAGTTTAGGAATAAATAACAACTTAGTAAATGAAGTCTTCCTTTTAAGTAACACTCGAAATTGAAAGTATAAGAGTTTATGGATATTTAAAGTTGCAGGCCTGCCTCATTTTATAGTTCTAAAATTTTGAAACATACGAGATATCTCAAAAATCAAACTGTGTGTAAATAAACCCATGGTGGCTTTCACATGTCCCGTTTTGATCTCAAAGCGGGTGAGTGAAAAAAGCCCCCAAAGACAGAGTTAGTGCCATGTTCGTATTCTGCTGTTTCCTGGTTAAAACGTTTTCCCACTTTTATTTTTCTTTAACCCAGGAGCCGACTGTTTTCAAAGCAAATTTACCCGGTCAAATCACAGGCCTAACAGTGTCCATTAAAAAAGAAAGTACCATAGGCACTGTAAGTCTATTTAGTTTTAGCAATTAAGAAGACATAGCTCCCAGAGCACCAACTCACACGCTGACGACTAGAATGTTAAACGTTGCTATCACATTCTGTAATCATTAGTTAGAGAAGACAGCCCCGGACATTTCTATATCTAAAAGACAAGCATACTCAACGTCTCTTGAGAAAGGAAACAAACCTGTACAGTCAGCACTGAGTAGATATCCTAAAAGGCAGATGGCGATGAGGCCCAGTGACTCTGCCATGATCGTGTTCAGGTGCCGCGTAACCTTTGCCGATAGATTGTGCAAGTAGCACGGTTGACCAGTTGTTCCAAAGTACAAGCGGAGCTGTATTTACTTCTGGGAAACAATGTCCATCTCCCCCAGTGGGTCTTCGGGCGATTTCCAGTGGCTTCTGGGGTTAAGGGAAGAGTATAGGCAGTGTCCATCTTTAAACTTCACCTCTGATTCCTTGGACTTCTGCCGCAGTGGCTGATTGGAGGCTGAAGCAGGAAGTGACACATCATTAGAACGGGGGCGGTGGGCGTGGGGCGGCAGGTACAAGGGCTAGAGTTGCTGTGGCAGCAAAATTTATCAGTGGGATCCATGCTTATCTCGTCAGGGAGCACGAATGTCATGTAGTTGAAAAGTAAAGAGAGAGAACGAGGTCATTTGGTCACCTACCTTAAAACACTCCCCCTCTCACATATGTTGTGTCACCTGGTAGATTCTTAGTATGTTCCCTCCTCATAACGAGTCCACTTTCTTGAAATGTAAGGACCCTGCTCAGAACACATGTATGCATGTGTGTGTATGTATGCATATAGGCTTATGTATTTATATGAAATAAACATACGAGTATTATTATATACTTGTGTGAATTTATTATACCATTTCACATTAAAAAAAAAAACCAAAACACCAAGAGTATACCAACCTTTGCCTGTCATTCTTTGTGCTGTCCCTGTGCTGCTATTTATTTCCACATGTTGTAAACTCTACATTGTATTATTCTGCTTTAAGCAGCCAAGAGCCTTTCAAAAAACTTAAAAATGAGAAGAAATATATTTAGCCACATATGTACCATTATGATCTACTTCATTTCTGTGTGTAGATATATGTTGCAATTTTTCATCACTTTGAATAATTTTCTTTAATAGTTTTGATGGTGTGGATCTTCTTAGGATGTATTTTCTCAGCTCTTATTTGGAAGTGTCTCTGTTTTACCTTCATTTTTCAAAAGTAATTTGGCCACACATATAATTCTAAGTGGACATATTTTTTTTTCTTTTACCACATGAATGTCATCCTGTTGGGTTCTGGCATGCATTGTTTCTGATGAGGAGCAGGTGAATGTCCTTGTCACGGATTTTCAGCACTTCGCCTGCAGTGAGTCAAGGGATTCTTGGATTTGTGGCTTGATATTTTTATTAAAGTCGGGAAAACTTTCGGACATTAATTTCTTAAATTGTGTTTTGAAATAATTATAGGGGCACAGGAATTTTTTTTTTTTTTTTTTTTTTTTTGGAGAGAGAGAGAATGGAGGAGGGGCAGAGAGAGGGGACTGGAAGTTCCGAAGCAGGCTCTGCTCTGACAGCAGAGAGCCCAATGTGAGGCTCGAACTCAACATGTGTGAGATCACGACCTGAGCCAAAGTCAGACAGAACTGACTGAGCCACCCAGGTGCCCCTAGGGTCACAGGAAATTGTAAAAACAGTTCAGAGAGGTCCCCTAGACCTTTCACGCAGTTCCTTCCGATGTTTATATCTCACGTAAATGTAGGATAACCTCAAAACCAGGCAGTGGACATTGGCATAATGTGTGTAATTCTAAGTAATTTTATCACGCGGGGATTTGTGTAACCACCACTGCGGTCCAGGTAGAGAACAATTCTATCACCACAAAGATCTCTCTTGTGCTGCTATTATATACTCACACCCACCTCCTGCCTCCCAATTATTCCGAACCCCTGACACTACTAATCAGTTTTCACTCTCTGTAATGAGACTGTTGTATAAATAGAATCACAGAGTGTGGGAGCTTTTGAGATTGGCATTTCTCATTGAGCACAGTGCCTCTGAGGTCCAACTAGGTTGCTACATGTTTCAGTAGTCGGGACCTTTTCGTTGCCGAGAAGTATTATGCGATGTGGACATACCACAAATTGTTTATTCACCTGCTGAGGAACGTCTTGATTGCTTCCAGGTTTTGCTATTGTAATAATGTGCTATAGACATAAATGTACGGGTTTCCGTGTGGATGTAACTTTTGAAGTTCCCTGGGATAAATGCCCAGCAATGCAATTTCTGGGTCATAGGGTTGTTGAATGCTTAGCTTTTAAATACACTGCCACACTGTTTTCCAAAACAGATGCGCCACTCTACGTTCCCACCGGCAATGGGTGAATGAATGACCCAGCTTCTCAGCGTCCTTGCCGGCATTTGATATTGTCACTGTTTTTTTTCCTTTAGACACTTTCATAGGTGTGTTGTGATAACTCATTGTGTTTTAGTTTGCATTTCCCTAATGGTTCATGATGCTGAACACCTTATAACTTAATGTCTGTATATCTTCTTCCGTGAAATGTATATTCATGTTTTTTGCCAAGTATCCAATAAGACTGATTTCTTGTTCAATTTTGGAGTTTTTAAAAAATACAGATATGAGCCCTTTCTCAGATATATGGTTTGCAAATACCGTCTCTAAGACCATAGCTTATCTTTTCATGCTCATAACTGAGTCTCACAGCCAAAGTTTTAAATTTTGATGTAGCTCAGTTTATCCTTTTTTAATGATCATATCTTTAGTGTCGCATTTAAGAACTCTTCCACTGACACAAATCTTTAAGTTTTTTTCCCCCATGAAAAATATCTCCTAGTTTTGCACTTTAGACTTATTCTGGTGTTCCATTTTGCATTAATTTTTTTAACTTATGAGGTTTAGGTTGATTTTTTTTTTTTTTTTGCCTGTGGGTGTCTGATTCCTCTAGCACCATTTCTTAAAAAGATAATCTTTGTTCTGTTGAATTGCTTGTGCGTGTTTTTTTTTTGTTTTGTTTTTTTCTTTTTTCCACAAATCAGTTGAGTATCTTGGTTTGGGTCGGTTTGTAAGGTTTCCTGTTCTGCGTGATTGGTGTACGTGTTCGTACTTCTGGCAACACCACCCTGTCTTCGTTACTAAAGCTGTCTAGTAAGCTTTTCTATCGGATGGAGTGATTTCTCCCACGTTTATATTGTGTGGCAAGATTACTTTGTTGGGGGGGTGGGTACTGAATTACTTTATGTGAAGGAATGGTACAAATGAAAGAAGTAGATGTTTTGGTACAACTTAGAGAAAAGGTAAACATAACCCCAACACGCATGCCCTGCCTCGGTGACCTGGGAAGTCACCCTTGAGGCCATGGGAAGACAGCCTAAGGCGTCGCTTTCCTTATCACCGTTTCCCAGGGCATCCTTGTCAGAGGCACTGTGCCATACGCCAGATTCGGAGCCCCCATCGCGCCCAGGTTGATCATGTGGTCGCTCAGTTCTTTGATGAATTTCACCTGCTCATTCACAGAATGCGTCTCCGTGAAGTCACACAGACGGGGTCCTTTTTTATTAGCGGCCGGTTGGTGTAGTTCCAGGCGTGACTGATTGACGCTCTTTTCCAAGTGTAAGGCACACTCTGTTTGCACTCCTCGGGGGCTGGTTTCTTGATATCCTGAAGGAAGATTCGGCCACCTTTTGGCTCTGCAGCTTCACCAGTTCCTCAGCATGTCCCTTCCTCGTGAGACTGGTGAAGAAAACGTTTGCCAGAGGTCTTCAAAGCCCCACCTCTGCAGCCAGAGTAGTAAGGCACGGACAGGTAGACGTAGGAGGCGCACAGCTCCAGGGGCATCTGGCGGTTGAGGCTGGCCTCCGAGGCCTGGTGGTAGTTCTGGCGCACCTGCGAGGGGGAAGCAGTCGTCATGGAGGTGGCTGAGGAGAGCCAGGAACAGGGTGCCATGGCTGCACGGCGCTGGAGTGGCTTCGGGGGCCTTGGGGTGGTTCGAGGGCGCCGTGAGGAGATGGCAGAGGGCTGGCTCTGAGCGGAGGGCTGTGGTGGGGGGCGAGTGCCGGGTTCTGCCAAAGTACTGTTGAAAACAGGAAACGGCAGTGACTCTCGGTGGAGACTCGGTATTTTGAGCCAAGCTTATTTTAATTATTCTAGGTAGGGCCCATAACTTTTTTATAAATTTAAAAATAATCTGTAGCTACAAAAACTCTTGCTGGGATTTTGACAGGGATTACTTTAAACCTGTGTGTATATTTGGAGGAATTTACATCTTCACTGTGCTGAGTTTTCCAGTCCATGGACATGGTATGGACATGTATGTCCATTTCTTTAGATCTTTGATTTCTTTCATCAGCATTTTGTAATTGTTAGCCTATAGGTCTCCTATATCAACCGATCCGTGAACAAGACAGCTTCGAACTCCACTTATATGCAGCTTTTTTTTTTTAATATAGTTGACCCACAATGTTACATTAGTCTCAAGTGTACCGCATAGCGATTTGACAAGTTTATACATTCTGCTGTGTTCCTGATATGTCGCTGTTACAGTATCATTGACTATATTCCTTATGCTGTGCCTTTTATTCCCATGACTTATTCATTCCGTAACTGGAATTCTATATCTCCCACTCACCTTTACCCATTTTGCCCAACCCCAAACCCCCTCCTCTCTGGCACCCATCAGTTCTCTGTATTTATAGGTCTGATTTTTGCTTTCTGTTTATTCATATTTTTAGATTCCACTTATGAGTGAAATAATATGGTATTTGTCTTTCTCTGTCTGACTTATTTCACTTAGCATAATAGCCTCTAGGTCCATCCGTGTTGTCTCAAATGGCACAATCTCATCCTTTTTAATGGTTGTATAATATTCCACCTTACATATACCACATCTTCCTTGTCCATTTGTCTATTGAAGGACAGTTAGATTGCTTCCATATCTTGGCTATTGTAAATAATGCTTCAGTAAACATAGGGGTACATATATCTTTTCAAATTAATGCTTTCCTCTTCTTTGGATAAATACCCAATAGTGGAATTATTGGATCATATCATCTTTCTGTTTTCAATTTTTTGAGGACCCTCCATACTGTTATCCACATTGACTATATTAATTTACATTCCTATCAACAGTTCCTTTTTTTTTCTTTTTTAAAAATGTTTTATTTATTTCTGAGAGAGAGAGAGACAGCGAAAGCAGGGGAGGTCAGAGAGAGAGGGAGATACACAATCTGAAGCAGGCTCCAGGCTCGGAGCTAGCTGTCAGCACAGAGCCCAACGTGGGGCTCGAACCCACGAACCGTGAGATCATGAC